ATGTAGGTGTGTGAGTGTATGTATGGGTGTGCGTGTGTGTGTGTGTGTGTGTGTATGTGAGTGTATGTGTGTGTATATGTGTGTTTGTGCGAGTATGTAGGTGTGAGTGTGTGTGTGTAAAGTACTTTCAACCATACCTCCCCCTACACAGCTTCTACTCAAACACATTCACAGCGACTCACCCTACAATAATCTAAACAAAAAAACAAAAAACACACTGAACAAATAATATCATAACAAACTTAAATGGAGAAACTAAAGTCTATCAAACCACACACCAACAACAACAACAACAACAACAACAACAACGAAAAAGTTCATCCAACCACACACCACCAACAACGAAAAAGTCAACGTTGTCAGACAGCTGTTTAAAAGCTCTAGGCCCAAAAGGGAGAGTTCTCCATGTCAGGAAAAATAACTTCATCATTCTTGTAACAACTGCACCTACTTTACGCATCTTTTCTTCTTTGTTTGGTTTTTTTCGATTGACTTTTCCGATCCAGCTTTTTTAAGATTTAGAATTTGGAATTTCGACAAAATATTTCTCACTCACATGTAATGACACCAGAGATTTGGAAAATGAAATACACAAAGAATTTCCCAACTTGGACAGAGCACATCTGAACAGCTGACTAACAACGTGAAAACTAGGTCAATGCACGAACAAATCATCAACGGAACAGCAAAATACCGAGAAACAAGTGAAAGGAAAACAAATACTAAACAACAAGTGAAAGGAAAACAAAAATCAAAACCAGGTAACTATCTGGCAAAGAAACAGAAAAGATCGAAGACTCACTTCATTAACGCCGACCATCTACCATCTATCAAAGCAATCACATAAACAGAGGAGAATAGATGAAAAAATAGATGTTTCTACATGCTTGGGTACACAAGTAAGCTTTATGTATAAAAAGAAAGGACGTTGAAAGAAAGAATTGTGTTATATAAGCAAATAGGTCGATTCTTTATCTAGTAAAAAGAAAGGACCTTGAAAGAAAGAATTGTGTTATATAAGCTAATAGGTCGATTCTACAAGCGAGGTTTTTTAATCGGAAAATACAAAAGGTGTCTTTTCTTAGAAGCAGTGAAAGGAGTGTTTTCTTAGAAGCCATGAGATGGTGAAATCTGTGACAAAGTACCAAGGGACAATCTCAGCACAGTCATCAAGGGGCTGATCAGCCGAACATACACAAAATGAGAGAAAATATTCAATACAACGTGCCAAAGAGAAAACACAGAGGGAGAGAGAGAGAGAGAGAGGGAGGGAGAGAGCGAACGAGGGAGGGAGAGAGGGAGGGAGGGAGGGAGAGAGGGAGGGAGGGAGGGAGAGAGGGAGGGAGGGAGAACAAAGGCAGCATGCTCAACATACAATCCCACACTGAACACATCCATGTATTTATCCTCAACATACAATCCCCCACTGAACACATCCATGTATTTATCCCCTCCCCCTCCCTCCTGTCTCCCTCAACATACAATCCCACACTGAACACATCCATGTATTTATCCTCAACATACAATCCCACACTGAACACATCCATGTATTTATCCCCCCACCTCCTTCATCCAGTACCAGATCTGCAACAGACATCGGCGATCATGGTTCTCCATTCATTCCTTTGCTCGGATGCTCTAAACAAAAAGCTACGTTTCCCTGATCTTTCCCCATTACCCATTTGTTTAGGTTCTCTACGTAGGTTCCCCAAGAGTGTCCTTAAAAGTTCCAAATCAGTTTTTGACTACGTTGTGAGTTTCTAGAGTGGACAAGTTAGAATTATGGTTAGTGTTTGAGGGGGGTTAGGACATAGAAGTGCTACATTGGCCGTCACGCTGCACAGCCAGTCGTGAGTCTGACGACAGGAAGTTATTGTTAGCATCCGAGAAAACACAGAGGGAGCATTATACTAACAGCTCTAGCTACAGGATCCGAACCCCAACCTCTGAGACAGTAGGATCCGAACCCCAGCCCCTAGGACGGTCTCCCAGCCAGCCCACCACACAGGAAGCATCATACAAACAGCTCTAGCCACAGGATCTGAACCCCAGCCCCCGAGACAGTCAGCCAGACAGCTCCCCACAAGCACCACACACCAGAACTGAGGACAAGACAAGCTGGAAGCTCTCACACACACACGACCTTAAGCAAGTTGTGAGCGCCGTAAAACCGCGAGCCAATAGCAGGCTGCAACAACGTCCAAGTCTTACCATACTCGTTAGTGGCCGGGCCACTGTCCAGACTCCCCCCGAACCCCGGCCGGTCGCAGAGAGGGGGGCGGTAGCCGATGTCACAATGACAGTTGCCTCGGCTGTTACATTTCTGTCGTAGAACAGAGAGAGAGACAAGGGACGTATTGAAGGCATACATAGACACATGTACGCACACACACACACACACACACACACACACACATGGCTGTTACATTTCTATCGTAGAACAGAGAGAGAGACATGAGGACATATAGCATAGGGACATATAGAAGACATATGCAGACGCACGTACAACACACACACACATACACACAAAGATGGCTGTTACATTTCTGTCGTAGAACACACCCACACACACACAAACACACACACAAACACACTCACAGACACACACAAACACACATAGAAATAGTCACAGTCAATGACAAAACCCAAACGTCTACAGAGAAGGAAGCACAGCCAGAGGCAGAAGGACGTTCCAGTGACACCCTCCCACAACCCAAGAACATGTGGTGGACGCCTCTGATGAAAAGACGGATAGAGAGAAGACAGATAGAGAGAAGAGGGAAGAGGAAGGTGATGTGTGGTAGACACCTCCAATGAGAAGACAGATAGAGAGAAGAGGAAGGTGATGTGTGGTAGACACCTCCAATGAGAAGACAGATAGAGAGAAGAGGGAAGAGGAAGGTGATGTGTGGTAGACACCTCCAATGAGAAGACAGAT